GTTAGTGGTATTAACTAGCGATTTCTTTTTACTTATTATATGCCAACATATACTAGCATTATAATCTAATCCGTTTTTAGAGATAGAACTCTTTTCATTCGATTATCATGATAACAAATCTCAGAGAACGGTCGACTCGGTACCAATGTGTTATTACACCCCAGGTTCATTTTGTGCAGGAGTTCTCCTTTAATACTGCATCCTATATTAAGCTAGTGAAGTAAATTGTCGTAAAAGCTGTGAAAGTCCTTTGGGATGACTTCCTTCAGGTCTTGGAGGTGTTTGAATTTCAGCTCTTTGATCTTCAGGCGGTCTGAATAGAGTGGGGTGACTGTGTGGCTGTCTGAGGTGGAGTTTCGGAGTTGGTGACTTGGATGTGAATGCCAGTCATCAGAGTGGTTGATTTTGAAGTCCATCGTTCCATTGTTGTTGTACCTAATAGCACAAAATATAACACAACAACATAATCACTGTAAGATTTCATAAAACAATATGCAACATCATAATGTCATGAGTATATTGGTAAGACATAAGATTTGCATTGGTAATTACCTGATGCCTCTGATATCATGGACAGTTGGGTCACCAGCTCTTCCTCCAGGGCGCAGAGACTTGCAGAGCCTCAGCTTGGTGAAGTCCTGGAAGAAGGTGTGGTCGATGTACTTGACTTCATATGGATGAGGCTTTACACGGGCCCTCTTCATCAGGTTAACATACTCTGCTGGGAGATAAACATCCTGGTCCCTCAGACGCCTCTCGATGACGCTGTGAACGGAGTCGCATTCCATCTGAGTATGCCCTTTCTCAAGGTACTTCTGAATGACGACTTTGTTATTCTTCATGAAGAACGGAAGAAGTGCATTGCTTAGAACTGCATTCCGGTTCTGATACCCGCAGCCGTCACTCCACAGAATAAATGTGTCAGGCTCAGTGTGTGCAGAGAGGTAGTCGACAATGCATGAAACAAACTCACTGGCAGACAGGGATCCCTCGCCTTCATGCCAGACATAACATGTGGCACTGTGTGTTAGCATGTTGTACATGGTAAAATTGTGAACAGCAAGCTTTGTTTTGTAATACAAGGCTAGGGATGCACCGATCCACATTTTTTCACTTCCGATCCGATCCCGATACCTGAATTTGGATATCGGCCGATACCGATTCTATTCCGATACCAGAGCTGTGTTTGCTTTAATATTATTATCATCATTATTGTTGATTTTATATGATGCTGAAATAAACTCCTCTCAACAGGCAAGTATGATATGTACGTATCTATGTGTGTATGTCCTAAAAGGCAACTTTAGGTAAATATAAGGTCAGAAAAACAGGAAATCCTGTTAACAGGAAAAATCCCATTCTGAAAGCAAATATGCAACTGTAAGGGTTTTAAATTGATTGTCATGTCAATATTTATTACATTCCCAAAATGTCAAATACTTGAGTCTTGAAATATAAGAAAAGTGCAAGTGTAAACATCTTACACACACACACTATCAATAAAACAGTTTGCATCAACAGCAAAAAAACAAGTACACTGGCTCTTGTAGCATCAACAAATCAAGGTTTTAAAATGTAAAATATTAGAAATATAAGAAAAGTGCAATAGTCCAACATTTTCGTAGGCTATTCGTGATTCAGCTGCTCTGAATTGTCAAAACACCATTCAAACTCTATTAAAACTTCTTGCTACGGATGCGAAAAACGCAGATTTTTTTTTATGACGGACGAAAGTTTCAGTGGCAATATATGCAAGCGTGATTGACATAACGTGAGGTCGTATTTATTTTTTAACGTGCGAAAATTTCAGACGTGAATTTCGGACTCCGTGTGCAAGGGCCTTAACACACACACACACACGCACACACACACACTATCAATAAAACGGCTCCCGTTGTCTTTCTGCCCACTGGCTAAAAAATCCTCGTGCTCTTTAACGTGGTGCTTTTTTAAATGTTTGATTGCGTTCGTTGTGTTGACCGACGCGAGGGAGCTTCCACCTCTCTGAATTACAGCTTTGCAAACATTGCATTTTGCTGTCTTGCTCCGCGGTGTTTCCAGTGTGAAGTATTTCCACACAGCGGACATAATGCTGCTCAATGCTTTCCTGCTAGCTGGCTGCAAACTGCGGAATGGATTTTCTGAGCGGAGGCGTGTCGCATGACTCTGTGTCTATTTGAGCCGCGCCTCCGTTCAGGAAATCCATTCCACAGTTTGCAGCCAGCTAGCAGACTAGCCGGCGGGAACCAATTTTGGAGTCATTTACCCTTAGTCACTGTTTGGGGTCATTATGACCCCACTGGACTTTTCCTTGATTTTTTAAAAATGTTCCCTTCATCTCAGGGCCATGAAACTCTGTGACTTTTCCTACATAATCTATCTAAATATGCACTAAAAAAACTGGGTTCGATTCGGTTGTTCTAAAGGTGTGTAAATTTTTTTTTACCATTTAAGGGGTTTGGGGTCAAAATGACCCCAATTGAAAATGAATGGGAAAATGAAAAAAATGACTTTTTTTATTTTGTTTGTCAAAAAAATAAAAGTAAATCCATTATAAATCTGAAATGTTCTACATATAAACCACGGTCTGGTCCTTGAGCATAAATAGAAAGTAGAACAAACTTTCTATCTCATACACACACACAGACACAGACACACAAACACACACATGTCATGACTGCAACAGAGAGCATTTTTACAGAAATTGGCAAATAAAATAAACAAAACTGGCATAAATTAAAAAAAAAAGACATATAAATCAAGGTCTGGTCCTAGAGCATAAACACAAAGTGGAACGAACTTTCTATCTCATACACACGCACACACACACACACATACACACACATACACACACAGACACAAATCTATGTGACTGCAACAGAGAGCATTTTTTTACAGAAATTGGCAAATAAAATAAACAAAACTGGCATAAAAATAAATAGAAATCACATATAAATCAAGGTCTGGTCCTAGAGCATAAACACAAAGTGGAACGAACTTTCTATCTCATACACACACACACACAAACACACACAAACACACACATGTATGTGACTGCAACCGAGAGCATTGTTACAGATATTGGCAAATAAAATAAACAAAACTGGCATAAATCTAAAAATATATATATTTAAATCAAGGTCTGGTCCTAGAGCATAAACACAGAGTGGAACGAGCTTTCTATCTCACACACACACACAGCCACACACACACAAACACACACATGTATGCATATGAATGCATCCTGTTCATTACAGTTTATTGTTGCTGTTGTTTTGTATTATATTAGTTTATTTACTTGGTTTATTTAATTTATTTTGTTCTAAAATCTCTTGTTCTAAAAAAATAAATAATTGTTGATAAATAATTTTCTGAAATAAATAGTGTGTGATTACAGTCATGTCGGTGCTGACTTGTAATGTTTATGCAAATGTATGTATAATAATTTGCAAAAACAATAATTCAAAATATATCAGACAACAACAACAAACTCTAACTTTGACATATATATTTTGTGAATTGCATAAAATATTTTTATCATATATATCAAGTTGTTAGGAGAATTTGAAGCATCTAGAGTAGACAAATGAAGGGAAAATGAATGAGTCTCTATGGACCTCTATTGGACAGATGTGGTCATTGCACTTTAATTCCTTAATTATAAGTTTTTCAGTTTTTCGACTAACCACCAGATGGTAGTATTTTATCCCTAACACATAGAGCAATGTCCAAAAACTATTTAGATTTAATTATCATCATCATTTAAGTGATTTTTTCTTTAAAAAATCCTTTTTCATGTGCCAATTTATGGCCTAGTTATGTAATTGTGCAGTAAATATGTAGAAAACCTAAAAATTTCCAAAAAAACACAGCATTATTGTATAGTTGAGAAGTGAATTAAAAAAATGATATATAGTTTTCCATATAAAAAAATTATATTTCCTTATGCAATCACTCTTTAAAAGTTTGGGGTCAATACGACCCCAAACCACTTAAGCGTCGTCCTTTTTAAACAGTGACTAAGGGTTAAGCAGACAACGTTAAAGCGCAGACATGGCTCATGGATATCGGATATCTCCGCAGGTTGGATCGGGAAAATCCGATACGTGAATTTACGCTGGTATCGGTCCCGATACCGATACTGGATCGGATCGGCCCCATCCCTATACAAGGCAGAGGCTTTTAGCTTTGGGCACAAAAGGAGGGCTTGTAAGTCCATACATAAGACCATAGTGTTGTTGCTGGCCTTGCTTGTGTCGGACAACTTTTCGGCGCGGGCCTCTTCTTTTTAAAGGAGATGGTGCTGCCACTCGTCATCAGTTAAGTTGCCGGTCTTGAAAGCACAACAGATGTTGCACTGGTCCTTTTTTGGGTGGTAAAGGCCTAGGTTGAGACGCTTGAACTCATTTGTGAACACTTGGCTTGACAAAGGTGTTACATTCTTCTCTGCAGCAGCACGACAATACACTGCATACAGATCAGCCATCGATTGAAACACAGGTTCCAGATACTGTTTGGATGTTGTGGATCTGCAATAGTGTGAGGGCACCTTTGGGAGGTCGTGCAAAAAACTGCAAATGAATTCATGGCCTGCCACTGAACGACGTGCATTTCTGTGTGTTTGTCCCTCTGTCTCTGCTTGCGTGTGTCCCTCCTTTGCCCAGTTAAGAGCAGACCACTCGCCTATTCCTAGGGTAGACAAAAACATACTTTTGCAGACGCGTCTTCTCTGCCCGCTGACCCGTAAAAAAAACAACAGTGAATTTGATCTTCGGGAATTTTCAGCCCCCCTTCTCCTTTGCACGGGGACCACATCAATTAGACCATGCACATACACTCTCTTCTCCTCCTAGGTCACATGTTGCCAAAAGTCATTGAAAATCGTATTCCTCTCAGGCTCGCCGATTGCACTGCAGTGATGTTTACCTGACCTGGCACATGCTGCTGATGAACATCTAGGCCCCATAGCCAGTGGCTCCCTCATTGTTTCCTTCTGCTTCTGTTTTCCAATGTATGACTTTCCAACCATTCTTCTTTTCTTGTTGATGACTTTCTTCCAGGTGTTCTCAGCTCTCAGTCTTTTCCTTGGAGGTGCGTCTTCCTCAGCATCTGAGCATGAATGCTCTGCATCCGAGTCCTCATCGCCTCCACCATGGAAAACTTCAAAATACACACACACAAACCAAACGTGCATGAATGAGTTACATCTTTATAAACTGTCAACAGTGAGGGCTATAGTTGAAGGACCTTATCCAATTTAATGAGAAAATGTAGAAAAGCATCAAACTTACCCGTGTCAAACTGCACCTGCTCTGGAGCCAGCAGTGAGGCCTCCTCTTCCTCCAGACCACCAGATAAATCTTTTCAAACACATCATACAATTAGTGTGATTTTTATTATTATTTCTATTGTTGTGAAAATACATCTGCATTAAAACTCATTCATTTTGGCATGTGAAATCATGATTATCTCTCAGAAATTCACTCTACCAGCATGCACCACTGTATCCTCCACCACTGTATCCTCCACCACTGTTGCTTCCTCTCTCTCTAACGTTACACTCTCTCCATCAGAGCTCTCACTGTCTAATAGGGCCCTTGCCTGATCATATGGCACATTGACCATCTGACAGAATTCCTTTAAGGACACAGACATGGTTGCTGCAAAAAATAAAATAAATAAAGGTCAAATGATCGTTTCACTAAGTTATACGGCATGTTTACGTATGATAACAAGGCAAGAAGCCAGCTAGCTTGCTTAAAGTGATGAACATGACGTAAAAGGTAGCTACTTGTTGAACATGACGGAATGCCTTGACATTGTAAGCTACAATATTGACATAGTACATTAAATTATTATGTTGTTCCTCAGATGAGTGCCAGAACTAGCGTCAGCGGGGGTCGAGAGGTTTTTATTTAAGCCCCACGAAAATCACGTTAGCTGCCTATCTCACCTAACATGATGACAAAACCAATAACGTTACATAGCGGCTAACTAAGTCAACGACAGGCCATTTTTGCGGTTTAAATAAAATGTCCTCAGCAGAAACAAAACCATGGAAGATTTCAATCAACATGATAAGTTAACTTAGCTAACTTACCGTCCAATGCAAGACATAGCTGCTAGCAGAAAGAAAAATCTAGCATCCTCAGAAATGATACATTAATACACTAAACTAGCACTACCATTACTTCGATCGAGATAAAACTGTTATATATAATATATAAACTGTTATTATATAATTTATATAAATAAATCATGAATAAGGACATTTACCTCAGAGGACGTGTTGCTCAACGAGGATTGCGACTTCCAATCTCGAGGAGAAAAAATGCAGCGAAGCTCCCAGCGCGGCGGCGCCAAGTGAAGAAGGGGTGGAGTTACGAGGTTTCTCAGACAGTTGAAGTGTCCAATGGAGTTAAGAGGTTTGCTCACAAGCTATTTTCAACACTTTCGATTGGTTAATAATTTGTAAAAATAACAGACCCACGTGGAGACTGACCAATAGCATCGATTTGTGAAAAAATATTAAATTGACCAAATTTGGACATACCAGGTTTCCGCCCGACAGCGACGATATGTAAAACGCATTTGCAGCTGCACAGCTCGCCCATTGAGCGTCTAGCTCACTCATAGGCTGTGCTGCAGCAACTGCACATCCAATGGTGCGCCCGTCAAGGGAGCGAGGCCTCAGCCTATATTAGTCCCCGAATTCGCCATTATAGCAGATTTTACTCCTTCAGCGACAAACTTCACTAGAGCTTCGAACTAGAGCCGTGCACCCAAACAAACCGTGCCGAAGCACGTCAGCCCTCCTCGGACGCGCGTATTCCGCCTCCGGTCAGGCTGCATCAGCCCTGCACATGATGGCTGTGCTGCAGGTCTACCAGGCCAAACTCCTCCGGGCTATGGACGAGGCTGGCCCGGACCCAGAGGCCTTTCGGGACCTCCGCAGCGCAACGGACCTGGCCTTGAGGGCTACCAAGGCCACAGCGCAGGCGATCGGGAGAAACATGGCGAGCTTGGTCGTGACTGAACGCCACCTCTGGCTAAACCTCACCGATATTAAAGACGAGGTTCCTCGACACCCCGGTTTCCAGCACCGGTCTCTTCGGCCCGGCGGTGAAGGGGTTCGCAGAGAGGTAGACAGAGGCACAGAAGGCGTCCCAGGCCATGTGACACTTCCTGCCTAAACGCTCTTGAACGCATCGAGCAAACTAAAGCCAGTCCCGTCTACGGCTCAGCCAGCGAAGCCGACAAAACAGGCCTCTCAGCCCCGCCCTGCGGCTGATGCCCAGCGCCAGTCAAGAGCGGCGAAACGGTTTCCGATGCCCCCGCGCCAAGGTCCGCGACCCAGCGTCGTGCTCGTCCTAGCACGCGGCACGAAGAGAGAGGGCGAGTGTCCCGCGCTTGCCGGACCACCCCCAAAGAAGCCAACACAACTTCCCACAGCCCCCTGTTTAGTTACAATTTTATTATTGTAAACAGGCCCGCAGCAGTGAGCGCGTCTTTGCAAACAAACGCCGTTTTCACGGCGACCCAAATAAAGCACAAAAAGAGCATGTTTCAAAAGCCCAACACATGGGTTCACGGTCCCCCTCTAATAGGCGGCCCCTCCCCGGTTGTAACACTGACTTCCCCACACGCAAATGCCTGTACAGTCAGTCAAACACTCAATGTATGCACAAATCACATTATAAGGGTTTCAGGTCCCCCTATGTTAAGCGGCCCGTCCCAATCAGTGTGTCAGTCCCTAGCCACACGGGTTCTAGCCTGGCAAGCTATCTCCGATGTGTCGAGTTGGGTCATAAACACTATAAAGCGAGGCTACTCGCTCCAATTCGCTCGCAGACCCCCAAAGTTTCAGGCGGTTATCGAGACCTCGGTGAGAAGCGACGTGGGTCACATGCTTCGCACTGAAGTGCAGAATTTATTAGCAAAAGGGGCGATAGAATTAGTCCCCCCTGCGTTAAAAAAGCGGGTTTTTAGAGCCGTTATTTTCTAATTCCGAAAAAAGACGGCGGTCTCAGACCCATACTAGATTTGAGACATTTGAACAAGGCTCTCATGCGACGCCCCTTCAAAATGTTAACTATCAAACATATCCTCGCGCAAATTCGCCCGGGGGATTGGTTTGTCACAATGGATCTGAAAGATGCTTACTTTCACATTCAAATAAACCCTTGTCACAGGCCATTCGTGAGATGCGCCTTCGAGGGACAGGCTTATCAATACACAGTTCTGCCGTTCGGTCTATCCTTGGCACCCCGCACATTCACGAAGTGTGTGGATGCAGCACTCTCTCCTCTGAGAGAGAGAGGAGTGCGCATGCTGAATTATCTCGACGACTGGCTGGTGCTAGCGCAGTCGAGAGTCGAACTAATAGCTCACAGGGACTTGATTCTCGGCCATTTAAAATGCCTGGGTCTCACAATCAATGTTTCAAAGAGGAAACTGTTCCCCTGCCAGAGTGCAATCTTTCTGGGCATAGTTTTAGACTCGATGACGATGAGAGCGCGGCTCACACCAGAGTGCGCGCTCTCAGTGCGAGCGCTCGCAGCCTCGTTCAGAGTGCGCGAGCGCGCGCCCCTGAAGAAATTTCAGAAACTGCAGGGACTCATGGCAGCAGCATCACCAGTACTCGCCAGTACGTCAGCATGGGATTATTGCGCATGCGCCCGCTGCAGCACTGGCTGAAACACCGGGTGCCAACACATGAATGGCAGTCAGGCAGCCTGCGTATCAGGGTGAATCACGGTTGCTTAAGGACCCTGGTTCCCTGGCGGGCTCAGGACTGGTACCAAGAGGGTGTGACAATGGGGACAATTTCCAGAAGGAAAGTGGTCTTTACAGATGCGTCCAACCTGGGTTGGGGGTCGCTACACGAGGGCACGCCTGCATCCGGCCTCTGGTCGAACACGGAGCAGAGCTTAAACATCAACTGTCTGGAAATGAAAGCAGTTGGTTTGGCCCTGAAGACATTTCTGTCGAACCTCAGGGGTCATCACGTCTTAGTCCGCACGGACAACATGTCAGTAGTGGCCTACATAAATCGCCAGGGGGGCGTCAGGTCAGGCGACCTGCATGCTATGGCGAGAGATCTCCTCTTATGGGCACAGACCAATCTGAGCTCTTTGAGGGCTGCGCATATCCCGGGCATCCAGAATTTGGGCGCAGATATGCTCTCACGGGGCAACACTCCCCTCGGCGAGTGGTCCCGAACCCACAGCCGGTCAGTCTCATATGGGAGGTGTTTGGCAGGGTTGAAATCGACCTGTTCGCCTCGAAAAACAACACCCACTGCGAAATGTTCTTCTCGAAGGACAGGGATGCGTTGGCCCACGTCTGACCCAACCGCCCCCTGTATGCTTTTCCCCTCGTCTCGATGATTCCACAAGTCATCAAACGGGTCAGAGAGTGCGAGTGCCCAGTCCTTCTGGTGGCTCCTCTTATGAAATCCAGGCTGTGGTTTCCGGAGCTGGTTCAGTTATCGGACAGAGCTCCATGGTCTGTCCCGAGCACCACCCCAGTCCCTAGTTCCTGGGGAAAATTCCTGCAGTGGAAACGCGACTATTCTCTATATCAGTAAGCACTGTTTCTGAGCTCCATGAAATGCCTTGATTTAATATTTCTAGAACGTACATGTCACATTCCTCATCTAAATAATCACTCCCAAGGCATAAAAAAGGGGGGCAAGGTCTGGTTGACTTGGGATAGTTAGTAGTAGGCTTGTTTGAGATGTGTCTTGCCTTGGCTGCAGTGAGGGGAGGAGTGAAAAAGGTGCAGGCAAGACAGACAGATCTCTCTTCTCGCACTGGATCAGACCATAGACAGTAAAAGAAATGAACACAGCGACCCCATAGACTTCAACGGAGAAAAGTGAAGTCAATTAGAAGCACTCACTTCCTGATGGCTGAGCGTACTGCGCAGGCTCAAACTGAGATTGACGACGTAGATGTGACGTGAGCAACCTGTCTCACAGTTGTACGTCTTCTAGTAGCTGTGCCAAGAGAAATCTGAATCATTCCCTTCTAGGGATGTCACGGTACCAAAATTCCAGTAGTCGGTACCGATACCATTAAAATTTTACGGTTCCCGGTACCAATTTCGGTACCACAGCAAAATCAGTTTGAACTATTTTTCCAATGTACCGGTATTTAACTATTTGAAAAAAATATTTAATTCAATTCAATGACTTAATTATTTATGACGGTAAATTTATGAAAGCATTGAAGGCTAAATGCTGTTTTAACGAAAATATTGATGATATTGAGAAATATTGCTTATAAAAAATCAAGTGAAAAATAAGCAACCTTCTATGCACACATTATTATTGTTAGTAGTAGTATTTTTAATTAATGGAGACGTAGTTAAATCTATTGTACAGTAGCCTAATATAATTATTTCTGTCAATTTCTTAAACCAAACTTTTATTTTGACGGGTTGCCCTGAAGACTTTTGAGTTTCTGTGCGTGTATGATATGACGATAGTTTTTCTCAAATGAAACGGTAAAATGCTCATGAAGTGACTCTTGGAGATGAATTGAATCATGAATCATGTCATCATATCGTGAGGCAGCAGAGACTGAAAACAGCGCGAGCGTCACTCGTGCTTCAGTGTGTATATGTGTGTGTGTGTGTGTGAGGTAACGTTAACGTTAAATGAAACCACGCGTCTGCGCCGTTCATTCACACAGAGACAAGCAGAACATGCAGGGTTAATATTTTAATGTCTTTTTGCAGTTTACACAGACACCACATAAGCAGCGCCGCCGATCGCCATGTCTCAGCGCTTTCATGAAGAGGACGCAACTTCACGCCCTTCTGCATGCGCGTCCAGAACCGGGTTTGACCGGGTAGGCTACTCCGGTACTTGGTACCGTGACGTTTAATTTTTTTTAGTACCGACTTGGTACTGAAGTACCGAATATTTTGATAACACTATTCCCTTCCGAATCTTGCAGAGTTGGAGAGCGTGTGTAGGAACTGTCCATGATGAGCCAGCAGCTGGAGCAACTTTATGACTCTCTAAGGGCTTCTCCCTTGACTTTATGCCTCCAAGTCCCCCCGATTGCCCACGAGTTTCTCCTCCTGTCTATACGGTAATTTCTCTACTGTACGACAGAGTCGCGTGTTATGATGCAATCGTTAGCCTATTTTTACAAAAACTGCTTCTACGGGGCAGATACAAGATAACGTAACGTAAGATACAAGGTAATGTAGCCTTTTATACATGGTCGTGTTTCTTTAGAAATAAACAATGGACAAATGGAGTCTTTAAACGCCTCAGATGTAAAGTT